GTTCTTACTTGATTTCCCCTAGTGTAACTAGTGCAATGTTCTCCAAGTGTCAGTTCTTAATTTCAAAAACATGGAATAAGATAATCCTAGAAAGAGAGATGAGCGATTTCTCTTGTTTAAAGTTTCAAACAGTAGTAAGATGTACCATGTCAATATGTGACGTTCTTATGCAGCTTGTATCAGCATTAGACGTTTGGAGGCCACGAGAGTCCGTAACCTCTGACTTCAGGTTTTTGGTTTACTGATATGATCTTTTAAGAGAGGGTTCCTGCAACTAAAGATGTACCTGAGATTGCATCAGCTGCCAGAACTGAAATTAATTTTTTTTTCCTTTATTGACTTTTCAGCTGGGATTTTGGATTCCTTGAGGCAATGCTTGTCTTCCAATATTTAAAACAATTACCAATGTTAGTAACGTATGCTGGTGCTTTTTTTGTTGCTTATTAAATGTATTATAGACTTCTTTTCCCGGCAGAGTAGCGATTGACCTTCGTGGCAGTCTGTAATTTTGGTAATTTTTTCCAGAAAGGGCAAAATGATACTGCGTTTTAGCACAAACGCTGTTTTTTTGCTAGAGCGCTAAACTGTGTGAATTACTGTGCAAACGCCATTCTCTTTGGTTGTTTGAAATTTTCCTGTCTCGTCCTTTCCCTGAAATGATTAAGTCCAGCTAGGTAGATGACAGGACTGAACTTGTAAAGTGGAGGTCTCCATGGTGTTGAATGGAGGGAAAGAAATATCTTGAGTGTGTGTGTAAGGATTCTCATCCTATTTAGATTTGGAGCAAATGAGAAGTTGTTTTTCAGTGTGGTTCTGGTAGGACAACTGCGTAATGTTAGTTACACAAGTCTGGTTTGTCTGTACCAGAACTCTGTTATGAGTGATACCCTTTTCAGACAAGGTTGTGCTCTGATTAATGTCATTCTCAAGCATGAAAACACTGCAAAATCTGTTCTAATAATCAGCTCACAAACCGAGTTGTCCAAATTCTTGTGCAGGCTTTAATTTTTAGAGCAATTCGCTGTTTCATTACAGCTGTCTTTAAACTGTATACTTAGATGTTTTTATAACAGTTGACTTTACGTGATTTTGTTAGTAAAATGCAAAGGATATGAACAGGGGGCAATATCCTTCCTTTTTAAAGGTAACAAACCCGAGTATTAAGGAGGTACTTGACAAAATATTTCAAATCAACAAGAAAATACAGTTAAGCAAGTATTTGTGTTTTATAATATGCCTCAGTGTTGCGCTGTTGGAAGAGACCGAGAGCTACGCCAGTAGTGAGTCTAGTCTGAGGGTCGAGGTAAGCGGAGTGGTTAAAGGATGAATAACAAATTGCTCTCACTTTTATTCTTAATATAGAGTATTAATAATGTATTTGTGAGGGGGTTTTACTTTCTGTCCTGACTTCTCTGATCAAATGACAGCATTCTTACTTTTCTCCCAAATAGTTGATATTTGCCCACCCACATTAGGTTAGTTAGCTGAAATTAGTAGTTTGTTCTGTAAACAGCCTGGAAGTATCTGTTTAGCTTCTCATTCTAAGGTAAATATTTGAAGAGTCTTTCTTGCTCCAGATGTTTATGGTACAGAGCCCTTTAGCATTGAAATGTCACAAAAAACATTTTTCAGTAACATTGTTCTCAGCCTTGGAAAGCTGTTCAATGAAAACATTGAACATACTGATCTTTTTTTGCTGTAATTGAATTTATATTTGTTGCTTTCTTTACTAATGAGAGTTGTGTTCTGCTAGGAGCAATTTCACGAGTACAGGTTGTCTGATTTTGTTACTTTTAAGAACTGTAGTAACAAAAATTTTTGAAAGAACAAGACTTCTAAAGTATAGTAAATGACATGATCCTGCGCTGAGTATTGAAATGTTCCTGAAGTGCCCTTGATAGTGGATAAAAGCTCGAATATTTATGGAACTAACTCACTTTACTGAGGAATAAGGAGGGGCAAACATGAGAGCAAATTACTCTCCTTCTAGGAGGAGTTTTATGGACAGTAACTTCATGGTCTGAGCTTGCAGCTGTACGTGTCTGCTAAGTCATAACTGCAGGTAGACGAGATGATGCCAGAAAAGCTTGCTGTGAGATGGAAAACTCAGTGACATCTGCATGGTCATGGAAAGGGTTCCAGGAAATGGCCGAATTTCTGCTCGGCTCTGGGCAAAGAATGAGTGACAAATCCCGAGATTCCTTGAGGGTGCGTGTGGCTTCCTTTCCATGTCATGTCGGATGGTGTTCCTATAACTTGAGCCCTTCATCCTTTTCTTTCATCTACTGCGTTGGCAGCTTTTCACAGATAAGTAGGATCTGGTTTGAAAATGGAGCTCATAGTAGCATAGCTAGAAAACCAGATTGAAATGTACTAGTCTTACCCTGGTAACGATAAATATCAGGGTAAAATAAAACTATTTTGACATACATACGTGGAACTCAAGTTGAGGTATGTTTCTGAAAATCTTTTCTGTACTGCAGCCTCTGCAAGTGCTATTAAGGGAAAACTAGGTAATGAATGGAGGTTCCTTTGGATAAAGCCATGCGAGACTAGAACAGCAGTAGCCATTCTGAAAGCTGAAATCCTGGCTAGTGCACTAAAATCGGCAAAAAGACTCTAAATCTTCAAACTTTCCTATTTATACGCCCACAGATTTCTATTCCCGGTAAAGCCTGTTGTATAGCTGTTGAGGAGATATTTTCTCTAATTTGCTTTAAATGGGGAAAGAGGATCATCCAGTTATTAAAAATAGCTGAGCCAAAGAGTATGGATAAACTTTTGCTGGCAACAGAAAAGACTCTTTCTTACAAATGGAGTTCTCTGTTTTTTCTTTCCACCATTCTGCCAAATACAGCATTGATGGGGTCTGAAGGGTTGCTTGCAGTTTAGTTTCATATACTGAGATAAGTGTCTGATTCTCACAGATGTTGATCTGAAATGTAGTCAGAGTTCACTTGTTGATGAGTTGGCGTACTGTGATAAAGTTTCTTATAGACGAGCAGCACTCGTTGCCCTCAAACCATATAATTTTCCATAGTTTGTGTAGCTTAATGTTAATTGTGTCCTGCTGTGTTGCAGAAATTTCTAATGATGGAAGTAGGAGCTCTACACTCAGAAGACAAGGATTAGATTCCTATCACTGCTGTGGATTCAAATAAGTCAGTTAAATTCTGTGTGTGTTGCCCAGTGAAGTGGAGGAATTGGTCATCTCTGAGTATTTGTGATCAGCGTGAGTACCTGTAGCTCTCTCCAGTGTGGAAGTACGTTACGAGATGAAAATTGTGCAGTCACGCAGAGCCTGCTGTTTGATAATGCTGCTCTGAGCTTTTGTCATCCTGAGAAACTAGACTAGATCTTTTTAGAGGCTTGGGAACTGAGGAGTTGCTTTTCAGTTTCAGTTTTGAATTTGGAATGATCTGATCAAAGTTGGTAGTGCCTGGGGTGAAGTAAAACCTCTTTTACATCAGCCACTTTTAAGTTATTTATTCCCTTTGTGCCTGTGATGGAAAACTCAATGTGAAACTGTCATCAGGAACTGCTAAAAACAAGATTAAAACCAACCTGCAGTATTTTTGGAGATGTCTCTAGGATTGCAGGCATCTTAATGTAAAATATGGTGAAACTGAGACCCTTGTTTAAGAAGCCAAAAAATGAACTGACCTGCTGATAGACCATTTTCTTGAAAACACTTTCTGTGCGAGAACTTGAGTCCAACACTTGAATTGACAGCATTGCAGTTGCTTCTTTTAATGTTACACTGAAGGATAATTAGATGGTTGGATCACTGAAATTTCTAATATTTTTGAATATTCTGCTATTTTTGAATACTTCCCTAAATATCCATCCCTTTCAATATTAACCTTGAACAAGGTAATGTACTCAGTTTTAGGATAGCGGTTGCCTTCATTAAAGGATTATGTGGCACGAACTGGACATGGGAAAATGCTGGTGGGGGATGTGGTGTAGAAGTCTCTTGTACCCTACATGCATGTAGTCACCTGACAGTTGTATGTCCTACATCCCACAGTTCCTGAGCTGTTTATCCTTCACGAAGAAACATATCAAAATTACCCTGGATGTCGAACGGTGTTTCAACTCCTGGCAGCTGCAGCTCTGTTTGCTTGTGCCAAAATGACAGGGGTGCTGTTAGGTTCTTGCTGTTCCTTTTTCTACCTTTCCCTCCTCTGCTGGGCAGCTGTCGGACTGTTCTCACCTCTGTCATTTTAGAGTTGGTATCTGTTGTTGCTTTCCAGCAGTTTTTCTCCTTGTCTTGGAAAGCAACATTAATTTTAATAGCTGGAACCTGTGTTCAAGTCAGTATCTCTGCAGAGATCAGCCGGGCTGCAGGGAGGGATCTCTTCTGTAGTCTTTTCCATCCAGTCGAGAGCGTGTTTTTTCCAAAACTTCTCATACAATGGAGAAGACTTTACTTGTTAGAAGATTGCCCAGACTGGACATTGAAATTCAAGCTCTCAAAAATGATTTTTAAGAACAGGCGCATCTCTGCATAAAAGAGGATGGGAATATATTACTGTCTGGAAATAGTGCAGCAGTATGTTGAGACATGACATAAATAAAATATTATTTGAAATGGGCTGACTTTTTTCCTGAACCGATTAATCTTTAGCTTGTTCCGCTGTCAGTCCCAGACTGTCATTTTGGAGAGATTATTTTTTATGCATTCAAAGAGCAAACGTGCATGTACAGTACTACTGAGCTGCTCTTTCAACTTTATGACCAAGCTGCCAATTAGTGTCGTACTGCCTGATCTCTGCAGGCTGCCTTGTTTTGGTCCAAAGCAGAGAAAAGAAACTGTAAACACACCATATTTTTCATAGTATATTATTTTTGCCTTTCTTAGTGAGATTAAGTAACTTGAAGACTCGGAGAAACCTTCTAAGTAGTCTTTCAGACTGAACATTCTGTGTTTCCTTGTCAGCTCTTTCATTGCAGATGAGAAAATCCTTGCACTAAAAATATAGATTTCTCAAACCAACATGCGCTTCTGCATATTTGATTCTTTTGAAGCCAAAAACATTTTTATCCAGCTTTTCAGGATATATAGGTCAATGTTAGAAGAAATTGAACACTCATTTCTTCAGTGCTGATTCCATGTTGGACAAAGGTGGTCAGAATGTCACTGGCAAGCAGTGTGCTGCAGAACTGAATCAAATTGTCCTGTTCTTCTGTCCTCCTTCTGGTATCTGTGCTAGTGAGTTCGTGAACTGCAACAAAGCAGCATTTTATCTTGCCAAGATTTTCTAGAAGCAGATGACTAAAACTGCATGAAGATTATGCTGGTTCAGTGAAAATACGTTGGAGAAACGTAGGAAACTTGTATCTGAAACAGTCAGTTTTCAGATTTTCATTTAATCTTCAGCATAAATGAATGCATATGCTTTATTCATGAGCTTTAGTGACTCAGTGCATTACGTAGTCTGTATAACATTTTATACTTTGTAATTTATGGATGTGAGACACGGGGTTTAGTTTTTAGCAATTTCTAACAAGACCAAATCTGGAAAGTTAGACCTTTGGCTTCTCAGAAAACTAAATAAGAGTGTGTTGTATTGTCTCAGAAAGAAAGGTGAACTGTAAAATTTAAGAGTAGGGGAAAACTTAGCATTTATAATTCAGCCAGCTGATCACTTCATTCTATAAATTTATGTTTATTGCTTCTGGATATTTGGCATTTTGAGTAACTTGCTCATCGCTCAGGAGTGTTTGGAAAATTACTGTATGGATGAAAAAATTACTGTGTGGATGAAAAGCCTCATGCGTGATAAACTGCTGTGACAAAGATTTAACTTGCATTTGCATGCTTCATTACTCTGAATATTTTAGTGGAAGACATGAAGTTTAGTGATAATTCAGTGTTGCCATGTAATGTCAGTGTTGAGTGATAATCCATAGGCAGTAAATAATAGAGGAGTGCGTGCTGCTTGAAAGATAACATTATTGAAGCCCTGACTTTTGACCCACAATTAACTTCATGTCACTGTCGGTACACGTTGTAATTTGAACTAAAGTTTAATTTTGAAGCTTGTTTGAGAAAAGGTGGTGTGTTTTAGGATATTGTCAATGGTTCTGTAGGGCAGCCTGTGCCACCTTGGCCAGGGTCTCTGGGAGTCAGTACACAGGGTAGAATTGTTTTGGTAGTAACGCTAAGTGCTGGTAGAGGTTGTGTCCAAGGACACTTGATTTTACAGATGAATATTACACAATCATTTTATTCTTGGCCTAGATAAGGTGCACACTGACTGAACAATGTTTTCTGTTTCACAGATCACAGACTTGCACAGAAGTAGGAAACTTCTGTGCCAGTGACAAATTGTAATCCCTTGGGAACACAAAACGGTTCTGTTGTTACTCTTCCTAAAGCATTCCCCCTGCACCCACCAGCCTTTCCTACTGCAGCTTTCGCTTCTTGATTTCGTATAGTGCAAGGCCACAGTGACAGCATGGAGATTTGAGTCATCTGTAGCTTCCACATTTCTCACTCTGAGGTTAAACAGCACCGAAGGAATTAGACTGAAATTTAGGAATTCAGGAAGATAACATCGCATAGGTTCATGTATTTGGAAGGGTTTGAGGCTTGTTGCTTGCTTTTTTTGCAATTAAAGACCAAGGCTTTTTGGCTAAGAACATGGATTCTTCAATCCCAGTGCCCTGAGAGTTGTACACGGTAAGGCAGCTCGCTTGGCGACGTTACCAGTGTAGCGCCTTTGGTTCTGGAGGTGGTGTCAGAGTGTTTCCAGGCATCTGAGGCTGAAGTGCTGAGCTCATTCGGCTTTGATGCGGCTAAACCCATGGGTTATGTTGTAGAAGGTTACTGATTTTATTCCATAATCTTACTGGAATTTGCTATGTGTGTGTTTGGGTGGGTTTTTGCTTCACCCTTATCAGTGCTCTGTGTTGTCACTGTTTTTTGACGCCAAATAAAATGTAATAAGCTTCACCAGTAACCACATATCACAGGTTTTTATTTAGTCATAACCTAACCGTGATAAACGCCGTTGCATGCGATTTAGCCATAGTTACAGCACTGCTGCCATAGAAATGTCCTTTGTTTTTCTGGGCAACAGAAATGGAGGGGTGTGATTACATAAATGGTGGGAAAGCTGTGCTGGTGGCTGTAGAAACTTGTTTCAGGCCAAGCTGGTGTCCTTACTGTCCAGACTGGGAAAGAAAGCTTTGGTGGATATGAAAGGGAACCAACTATTGTGAATTGTTGCAGAGAGGGGGATCAAAGGGGGGATGAAAGATTGGGGAGGGTGGGGGAGTGATCTGAGGCTGGGAGACCGATCTAGTAGCTTGTCTTTTTCTGTGCACAAAGGCAGTGATAAGGACAGCTGTTTTGTCATTGTCATCCAAAAATGTTTCCTTGCGTATAGTTCTGACCTTCCAATCATAGGCTAATTTTTCTTCCATGTTTGCTAACTGTGGTGTAGGATGGGGCAGTCCAGTATTTGCTGGTATTGGAGTCCTGCTTGTTCAGGTACTGTCTGGGGCGAGGTGATGTGGCAGTTCAGGGAAGCTTGCACAACCAAGCTATGATGTGGTGATTAAATGGGAGACTTCCTTTCCTCAAGTTCGGACAGCTTTCTAGAGAAACTACTTCACTGGGTGGGAGAAAAAAAAAATAAAAATATATATATATATATAGTGTCACATTATCCAGATGATTTTTATAATTAAATAGAACCAAACTGACGCCATTTAAAATGTGACATTTAAGGGGGGAAGTGTTGAGCCATGAATTCTGTTAAATGAAGGTAACACAACTGAAGCAGAACACACTACCCTTTCTCTGGTGACGCGGCGCTGCAGTTTCACCTCAGCAGGCTGATATTACCACGTTCTCTTCTGCTTCGGTATCGCAGTGGCATTTAGTCAGGCTCTTAAAATAACACTAGGGGTATTGTTGATTTTGATAACTGACTTCTGACTCCTTCTGACAGTGCGAGGATCAAAACCAGGTAAAAATGTCCAACTTCAAGAGAACGAAATTAGAGGACTGTGCTTGAAATCCAGAGAAATCTTTCTCAGTCAGCCTATTCTACTAGAACTTGAAGCTCCACTGAAAATATGTGGTGAGTACTGTGCAAAGTGTGAGGGGAAGATAAAACCCTGCTGGATGCTTAGTGGGGAGGAGGTAACAAACATAGGAATTGGAGCAAAAAAAATCCAAAACCAATAAGTAACTCATCCAGTTTCACCAAGTCTCTTGGGGAAGGGATTCACCTGAAGTTTTGGAAAGGAGTTTTTGTGTCAGCGAAATAATGTTTGATGCAGTTATGACTGAACAAGGGGAAACAAAGGACAACTACAGTTGTTTATTGTAGCTGCTCTTCAGAGTCAAATGGTGGTTTGACAATATTTTAAAATCCTGCTGGAAACTTAAATTTCTGTACTGTTTCTTGGAGTTACTTTCTGGTTTGGTTTCAGCGAACTTGTACACAGTGGTGCTTCTTTTGCACACGTGTACGTGTCTAGTTATGCTAAAAGAATGAAGAATGTCAAAATAAAAGCCTCAATTAATACACTTTAAAAAGCTTCCAGCAAACAGTATTTTATGTTATTCTTAACACTGAGGATTTACTTCAAATCGAAGTAGTTTTTTCAATATTTATGACATTGGTAGCCTAAAACCATGATTCAGTGTTGTTAGAAACAAGACCATGATTTAAATCAAAGGCAGAAATACCAGTTTCATTTTCGATACAATTTTCTGCTAGAACTTGAAAGTACTGAGTGTTTCAAGAAAATACCAGGAAAGTGAATTCCCCAAGCGGTCAGTTTTCCATCAATATTACTAATGCTGTGTGGAAATACCAAGAATGAAGTAAAGGTTCCTGATCTCACAGGCACTAGTCAAGAAAAGGATTTAACTGGATGACAGATTTCCAGTTGAACATGCAGCTGGTTTCTTGTAGTCTTGACCTTTTTTACACATGTGTGAATGTTTTTTAAGTAGCCATGTACTTCATCTTAGTGCAGTTAACCATTGCATTACATAGATGTCAAACTTCAGAATGTGATAATTTTAGATACGTTAAGATAAGCAGTAATTTTTAAGTATGTTGTAGGCAGTATCTAACTTCAAGCTTTTTACTTTCTGAAGCATCATTCATTTGTTCTTTCTCTAGAGAAGAAGGTAGCAAAGGGTCACTTACGTGTTGTTTCTAAATACTCTTTACAGGTGACATCCATGGACAGTACTATGACTTGCTTCGACTTTTTGAGTATGGAGGTTTTCCACCAGAAAGCAACTACCTGTTCCTTGGTGATTATGTTGACAGAGGAAAACAATCTTTAGAAACAATTTGTCTTCTATTGGCCTACAAAATTAAATACCCAGAGAATTTTTTCCTCCTCAGAGGGAACCATGAATGTGCCAGCATCAATAGAATTTATGGGTTTTACGATGAATGTAAGTAACACAGATGTGTGCCTCTGGCTTGGGAAAGCAGGGTAGGAGGTGGTACTGTTGCAGTGTTAGATGATTTTTTTCCTAACTTGAAGTTCCCTTTGCGCACTTCAGTGGGGTCCTCGGCCTATTTTAGGAAGGGAAATGTGTCCTTTCCCTGATCCTCACAGTACAAAGCAGGATACAAGTGGGTAGTTTTGCTTATTGGTGACTGTGTTAACTAGCACTTCTCACTGGTACATATTGTTAAAGTTCTTAAGATGAGGGGGTCATCAAATGTTAACAAAAGTTCACCTCTGTTTCCTTTCATTTGAGGGATGATGATGTATACTGGTGTTATAACTGTGGAGAATGGGCTTGTCTTTCCTGTGGTTATGTTGCAGTGCTGCAATCTACTTCATATTAACACCTTTGACTTTGTAATGTTAAAAAAAAAAATACTTTGCCCTTTCTGGATGCCGTCCTGCTGTATTATGTGCTGTTGCTTTGGCCAAAACCTGTATTTCCCTTCACAAATGGGAGAGTGTGTGAAGATTTCAATGCGATGAGTGCTCGGGTTGAGCACCAGGTACTTGCTCTTTCAGTAGGTGGCTTCATCTGCACAGGTTACTTGAACCAGTGAGACAGCCTTTTCATGCAGAAACGTGCCTGTATTTGTTTGACATCAGGAGCACTGTTTCTGAACGAACGCAGTGTTGCCGTGCAGTTAATGTTCCAGCTCTGTCACTGCATTAAGGTCTGTTGTGACAGAGACTATACGTAGACCTCACCATAACATAGCAGTAATTTTTGCTCAGAAGTGTATGTTCGTGTTTCAAAGGATGTGACTTAATAAATCCAGATAAAACTGTTAAAATTTAATTGTGCACTGAAGCATTCTCACAATTTCTGTTGTGGGACATACTTGGCTTGTAGCTTACAAGATGTACTCTCCATGTCTTGTTCCCCTTCAACAAGGGAACAAAGATCTGCGGTATTTCAGAGTTGACTCCTAAGAGATTAATCAGAGGCTTAGTCATACATTGCAAATATGTTCAGGGTTCCTGTCTGTTGGGAGAGTCCCTCTGAAAGTAAAACTGCAGCAGTTTCATTTTCAGTCGTCTTTCTTTGCCTACAGAGAGTTTATGTGGTAAAGCACTAACAGAAGTTGAAAGAAAATCTGCTTTCTAAGAATTGCTGTCTTCCCTGAAGAAAACAGCAAATGGCAAGATTTTCTGAAAGGTATCAAATTCTCCAAGAGATAATTTCCAAAAGCAAAGTTGGGAGTTGGAGAGTCTGGTTCTATTGGATAGATTTGTGTTATCCTCAGAGCCACTTCAGAGTGCTCTGCTGTACTGGAGAAGAGACCTTTGCCACTTTTTTACAGGCAATAAAGTATGTCCATGGATATCAGAGAAAGTAAATGGTGTGTAGGCTTTAACCTTAACTTTCTGCAGGCCTTAGTAAACTTAGGGCAGCCCTGTTAGTTGGTTGTAGTTGTGTTGGAAAAATATTGACTGTTTTTCCTCCACAATGTCTTCTAGGTAAGAGAAGATACAACATCAAGCTGTGGAAAACCTTCACAGACTGTTTTAACTGTTTACCGATTGCAGCTATTGTGGATGAGAAAATATTCTGCTGTCATGGAGGTCAGTGACAGTTTCGTAGTTGATATTTGAGAAACTGTAATGCTGTGGTATAAATCCTGGCGGTTTCATGTTTGCATTGCTGAAGCTTCAAAACTTCAGGGTTTTTTCTCTGCCTTGGTTCATGTGTGAGGTAGGGTTGAGCTTGATTAGTGTTTTGTGAATCATTGGGCTGGTGGTTTTGTAGCTTCAGACACATCGATCTGCTTTTATACAAAAATATGTATTTAATAACCTCTCCTTTTGAGTAAGGAATCCTTGTAGGGTTTTTTTGACTTACGTGACTAGGAGTTTTATATACATTTTGAAAACATGTTTTCATAGAATCATGCAATGGTTTGGTTTGGGTTGGGAAGGACCTTTAAAGATCATCTAATCCAACCCCCTTGCCATGGGCAGGGACATCTTTCACTGGATCAGGTTGCTCAAAGCCCCGTCCAGCCTGACAAGTTGGGAGTTTTCATTTGTAGAAATTGGCTCTGTTCTGCTGCGTGATACCTGCTTCATGCAGCTTTTCAAAGTAATAAAATACATATTGCACCTTAGTGTTTTATCACTTGCAAGTAGTGACAGTTGCCCAGGGAGACGTGTCAGTGAACAGTGGCATGAGGTCTGTTTAATATTGTATTTCAGCTTACCGGGCCTGATTGTTAAAATAAACATACCCTGTGATGCCTAGTGTCAATGCCTCTTTTGCTTCACAGCTCTTTTACCAGACACTTGCAAAATATTACAGTGAGATTATTGTAATCCTGTAAAATGTGGAAATGGCTTTGCTTATCTGTCTTCCAGTAAATCTTACAGAAAGTGACTTTTCTTCTGTCACAAAAGCTTTAAAACAAATGCTGGATTCAAAAAATGTCAGTTAACATTGCCATTGAACTATGTAAAATTGCAATGGTGAATCAGTTTGAATACGTATTATTTTTGTCTTGAATTAAAACCTTGGTCTCATTGAGCAGAGCTGAACTGTCTGTGTCTTAACTCTGAACAGGTTTGTCACCAGACCTTCAGTCGATGGAACAGATAAGGCGAATTATGCGCCCCACTGATGTACCAGATCAAGGTCTACTTTGCGATCTCTTGTGGTCTGACCCTGACAAGGATGTCTTAGGATGGGGTGAAAATGACAGAGGAGTGTCCTTCACGTTTGGTGCCGAAGTGGTTGCTAAGTTTCTCCATAAACATGATTTGGATCTCATATGTAGAGCTCATCAGGTATTGGAATTTTGTACATTACACCATAGAATAATTTTGGTTCAGAAGGACCTGAGGTGGTCATCGGGTGCAGCCCTACAGACATGCACTCAACACAGGACAAACCGGCATAAGCTGGAGTTGCTGAGGATCTTGTCCAGCCAAATTTTAAATAGCTGGATCTCAATTCTTGCAGGTATCTCTAAACAACTTGTCCCAATGGTTAACAACCCTTGGAATGAACATTTTTTTCTTGATGGGTGTAGACTCTGGCTCTGATTGCTGAACGAGATTGTCTTCAACCTAGCAGGATCCTGGTTTTCCCTTTGCTAGTGGACTCTGCTGAACTGGATCCTGGAGTGGTCTTCCTGTTTTGGTGTAAAAGTTCGAGCTCATGCTCCTTTGACGTAGCTCAGTTAAAGCTGCTTTGCACCTTGGCAGGAAGAAGTTGTCCAGTCTAATATTTCTGCTTTTTTCTCTAAAGGTGGTTGAAGATGGATATGAGTTTTTTGCAAAAAGGCAATTGGTAACTCTCTTTTCCGCCCCAAATTACTGTGGAGAATTTGATAACGCGGGTGCCATGATGAGTGTGGATGAAACTCTGATGTGCTCTTTTCAGGTATGATATCTGAAGATTTTGCTTCCTCATTAGTGTAGCCACACTTCAAATTTGCTCTGTCTTGAGTTGGTACAAAACCATAATGCTTGTTTCAAAGAGATCTTTACATGTAGACATGATGTGTAGACAGGGCTGTGTTTGCACTCATGTCTTCAAAAACGTGATGGGCCCTTGCTGCTGTGAGTAGATCAGCTGTTTTACCCTGGAATTAAATCATCCAAGCAAAGCTGTCAGCCGTTGGCCTGGGCGGTCCCATCTGCTGCTCTGAGCCTTGTCGTAGCTCCGAGTATTAAACACGTTTATTTCTTGGCACATTATGCCCAGTCCAGGTGACCTGTATAATACCTTTACTAGTGGATGAATTGATTGTAAGAAAGCTAAAACTTTTCGCTAAATAACTGAACTATCTTTTCAGATTTTGAAACCTGCAGAGAAAAAGAAGCCCAATTCCAGCAGACCTGTAACGCCTCCCAGGGGTATGATCACAAAACAAGCAAAGAAATAGTCGCTTTGGCGCTGCCTTGTTGGGACTTGTACTATAGTATATAACCTCCATTTTTAAAACTGTAATGTGTACTGTTCAGCTTGCCCAAAATAGAGAATGTGTTTGTGCTTTTCCTTTTGATTTGATGAATGGCATTTGCTGGTTGTAACAGCAAATGAAAGACTTTCCTCCCTCCCAGGAAAAGAGTTTTAAACTTTCCTTTTGTTGGTGTTACAGCTGTACACTCCACAGCATCTTATCCCCTCATTATGGGTAATTGTACAACTGACTCTGAATCTGTACAATGAGTAGTGTAAATGCTTGTTTTCTTCTTTAGGATCTAAAGAGGGCACTAGTGTGCTGTGAGAGTAGAAATTTGTTACTGTCAGATATTACATACTGTTTATACAAACCACTGTGAACTTTTTTTACGTTAAAATTTGTTTTTAAAGGGATTGCTTTTCTTTTAATGTCTTTGTCATGTCCACGTTAGTTTTATTGCTGTCAACCTTAGAAATAACCTTCAACCTCGCCAGCATCACTGGCATGATGTATATTTAATTCAGACACACGTCCCTCTCCGTACACTTCGAATGACAATTAAAGCCATTATTTTAAATGTTTGCGTCTCCTTCCCGAAGCCAAAGTTCGCTTGGAAAATCATTGGTCCACGACCCACCACGCTGACTTGGCAGGGCTTTGCATTCACGCCTTCCTCTGGAGCTAAAAGGAAGTCCTGGCTTGAAATAGCAACTAGAAATGCTGCGCTGTTTGTTCTGCTGGTGGCAACAGTGAACACATTTTTGTACAGTTTCCGTGTGTTCGAGCGAGTGGACGTTTTTACAGTGGCACCAGTCCTGTGGCAGGCCGGCTGGAAGTTACAGAAAATGGTTCTAGATCTGCCTGGATAGTTGTGTGTGTTTTAGCCTAAGGACTTTGTTCTACAAAGACCTAGAGAACAGCCTGATAAGCCAACCCGAGGCATTGATCTTGATCACTGGTTTATATAAATCTCTCACAGAATCTTATTTTTTAAAAACTGTTAATCTTTTTTGAACAGATAACAGTGTACAATACCATGTAGTGAAAATCACTTATTAAATGAAGAAATTGTTAAATCTTCTCAGTGTCAGTTTATCACAACCTATACACTACTGCTCTCAGAGGACCTGACTTAGATAAATAAATTGTTCTGGAAACCCACCCATTCTTGGTTTGGATTTGTCTAAACTATGAGCACCAGAGGTATGGTTTTTAAATAAATAAATTTAAATACAGGTCCCCTCCGAGCAGAGGGGCTGGGTGCAGGCACAGAGCTCCCAGCTGTAGACCTGCAGAACTGGGAGGACACTGGGATCTGAACCTCTGGGTTTTGGTGGCCCGAGGCTGGTGTAGCAGCAGCAGTTCCCAGAGGCACATGTGTGTGGGAGGACTTGGTCATCCTGGCTCGTGTTCATCGTTCTGTGTTTTGAGGGGGTTTTTCCTTGAATGCAAATGCTGCTTTATTGGGACCTTGGGCTGAAGAGGGTGATAGCAGAGGAGAAGACCGATACCCTCTGGTTCTTTAATTAAAGAACTGTGAATTCTTGGTGAAGAAGGAAAGTTGAGTAAACTTCACCCCTGCCATCTGTTCTGTTAGCAGGGCTTGGTGCACACCAGCTGAAGCAGGTTGTGTTGAAGGTGGTAGATAAGGTGTGACCATGGGGTCTTCTGCCCTCGACAGGAATACACTGTTGGTCTGTGTTCCTTTGTGTAACGCCGCCCCTCTCCTGTGCCTTGTGGAAAATACTGCAAAATTTTTAGAAGCTGAACAAGGGCGCTTGTTCAGCCTGTTCTAAAACACTGTGGTGATGAACTTCTGGTGCTTGGTGGAGTCTGCTTATGAAGAAGGACCAGATAAACCATCAGCTCTGTTCTGGTGTTCGCTTCACAGCTGAAGTTTCCCTTCACTTCTGGAGTGAGCTGAGCTTTTTTGACAATGTGTCTTCTGGGCAGTCCCCTCCATTGATTTTGGTTTTTTCATGTATTTCTCTGCCAAACTAAAAAGCCTTTTTCCTACTTTGAAGAATTGCACCACTACTAAAGCTAATTAATCAAACCACCTTTTGATGAGCTTGTTAGACCAGGTGTCAGAGATTGCCTGTTAAAGGCTTTCTCACCAACTCCCTTTCACCCTTTAAATCACATTTGTGGCTTTCTTTAGAGCTCTTCTCCCTTCTTGTAAAATGGTGACCTGAGTGTCTTTTATTGATCCAGTGAATAATGGAGCACACACGGAACCGGTTTTTATTTGACTGGTGTCTAAAGGAATGCATCAGCCTGTCTCTGCGGCCGTTCCGTGTGCCACCACGTCACGCCTTTCTTCCTCCGTGACTTTTTTTCTCTCCTCAAACACAGTTTCGGTCACACGCGGCTATTCTGAGCTGCGTTTTCTGCTCGGCTGCATTCCCAGCCGTGGCTGGTGGCCCTCGGGCTCCCCAGCTGCTCGGGGTGAAGGAAGTCCCCCGGCACCGCGGCGGAGGTGGAAAGGTTCCTGTTCCACGGCCGAGACAGGAAGGAAAGACGACCTGCTGGTCTTGCTACAGGTTGTGAGCGAAAGCTCAGAGGCATGTTTTCTGCCTCTTTGTTCTTGTTGGGTTTTTCGATCAGTGGAGGGAGAGAAGGAGCAGCAGCTGCCGCTTTCCTATTGTTTTCCATAATGATGCTTGTAGGAACATGTAGTTGACACATGGAATGGACGGAACAGCATATGAGCCTTCTGAGGCCCTTGTCCCCCTAACCCTGCTGCCCTTTCCGGCTGGCCCAAAGCTTTGGCAAAGTTGCCAAGGGCAGTCTGTAGCAGGGAGGGCTACCAGACCTTGCTGAAGATCACCACAAAAGGTAGCAGGAAAGTTGTGATAAACCCAAGTTCTCTTCAGTCCTCTTGTACCTTTTGTGGTATGCCTGCCGTAAACGTGTTCCTCTGGAAAGGGTGGTGAGATGTGAGGCACTGTCTCTCGATTTGGATGTCACTCCAAGTGGTGGTGTCTTTAGTTTCTCTGAAATGCAACGAGTCCTCCTTGCCGTGTAGCTGGTGAGAGGCTGTTTTTCAGCACAGGCCATCTTTGATGGTTCCTGGTTTGCTTTACGATGGTCAGCGCTATGGTGACTTTCAGTCCCAAGTTGTTGGGTGAAGCTGCGATGCTTTAAAACCAACAAGAAGGCGTTAATTTTGCTGGCAGTGTACGATCTGAACCCCAACGGTGCTCAGGTCTCCACAGGAGGATACAAGAGTTTCAGGCACATGAGCCCCTGATGCGTACGATGTACTTTAGACCCTGGCGGTCCTGGGGCTGGTGGCGGTGCTGAGGGTGGCTCTGGGCTCCGGGTTCTGCCCTGGCACTTTGGGGAGTCTGTGGGCTTCACCCTCTGCAGCTCAGGTGCACAGTCCTGACCCCCATCACCCCAGAGCAGGGAGCTCAGACTGAGATTAACAGAGTTGTTTGTGAAAAAAAGGTGGACTGTAACAAGAAGTGTAGGAACCAGGAGTTAAGTCACCAGCAGACTGGGAAAAGGTTGAAGATGAGGCAGCTGAGCTTCTGCTCAAGGCCTGTAATGCCGGATTCACCCTTAAATCACGCTCCGGGCATCACCCCGGTCTTCACCAAGAGCTTTGTGGCTCTGCTGACGGCATCTCCTCCTGCTAGAGCACCGAGGTGCCTCATGGCCACAGTTAACACGCAGCCCCCCAGGGCTCTGCGTGCACGTGCTGATCAGTGGGGGTTTGCTGAAGTTCTGACATTGAGGCTTCGTCTTCGTGATCACTGGTGGCTCCGCTCAGCAGCTGCACCCGGGGGCCAGGTGAGCCCATGTGCCATGAAGACGACTCAGCTGGTGGGGGAGCAGAAGCTGGCCGTTTTCTCCTTAAAACCTCCACTCCTTACTGAAGAGCGAGTTGGGTCTGTTGAGTTCTCAGGAGATCTGCCATCCCCGGTTCCAGTCCTGAGCTGGTGCCTCCCACCATTAGCTGACTGTGTTGGTGTTTACTTGAGTCAGCTGAGACCATAAATGCCTAAATTAGCTGGAACCTCCCAGGACAAAACTCCTCCCTGCTGCTGCTCCAGGGCTGTGTCTTTCCTGTCCCATGGTCCTGTGTGCTTAGCTGATCTCTGTAAGTAGGTGGTTTGGGGTGATGGTCAAGGGATGGGGGTTTTGGAGCTCCAGGAGGGCACTGGCTGTGCTGATCCCCTGTCACACTGGGGAGGAGGATGGGGACAGGTCTGGCCCTGTGCACTTTGGGGTGAGGCACTAGAAAATTTCCAGGTTTTGGGAAAAGTTTCTAAATATCTTCAGGCTTTAAAAGTGCAAAAACTGAGAGGTGCTTCTTCATTAGGGGAGGATTAGAAATATTTCAGGTGTGTCCCAGCAGCGGTGCAGTGGAGATGGGTCCCTGCAATAGAACCGGGTCCCTGATCCTTCTTGCAGCTCCGTTTGCTCAGGGCACTTCCGACCCCAGCTTGTGTTTGAAAGATGGAGGGGAGCCCTGAATAAGAAGCAGCCTTCTGAGAAAACGTGAGCCTATAAACGGCGGCAGGTTAATCCAGGCCTAACGTCTACATTTTATGCTTTTGTAATCCTCCTAATTCCTGGAATGCCGCCTGCTTTGTGGGACTAATCGTGCCCCTGCTCCGCAGCCAAGCTCCGATCCCGGCTGAGGCTCACGATTCCATTTCCCGCCCGCCCTGGGTGGCCGCTCGGTTTGTCGGACTCGAGGGACTGTTTAAAAAAAGGTTGGTAGTTGTTGTTGGGTTTTTTTTTTTTAAAAAAAAAGAAATTTAAACTCCATCCGG